TTCTCGGTGTTCGATTTTCTTGTGTCGTCTTGTATAGGTTGAAGCACTAAGAAGAAAAGTGATAAGTGAAGCAGATGCGACGGCCGCCGGGAAGTGGTCAGCTGTCTGAGTGATCTCAGTGTTTCGTTCGCTGCTTTACGTTTCGTTCATTTGCTCGCTCGCCTCGCTGACGAGATCTCCCCGGTGCTTGATCTCTCTCTCTCTCTTTTTTTTTTTTTTTTTACACAGGGTTTGACAAGGTTAAGGATCCCTAGCTTTATTGACAGCTATTTACACGTTAAGGATTCCTAACTTCATTGACAAGCTAAGAGCTGTTACCTACATCAGCTCATTTGAAAGCATTTTTATTGTTATGAGACATACAAGTAGGGAACAGGATGAAGTTGGAGCCATCTGTGGGCCAGCATTTTCATTTGATCAACTGACGTTATCTCGTTGACATCATTATGCTGTACGAATGTGCTCCATACTCGAGTCATCCTGGGTATATATGATCTCAGACGGAGTGATGTTCTGGAGAAGGGTACAGCCAGAGTGAAGTTGCTGCTTTCTGCCCGTCTTGTGGCATAAAAGCTTGTTTCACGCTGTCCTCGAAGTGGATCCAAGTGTGGTACTTTAACAATATTGACCTTATACATAACAGTAAGGCCACCCACATCCCTCCTATGTTGAAGGCTCTGCTGAAATGACAGATCTATCCAAGATGGGTCCTGGCGAGAGATGAGACGTCTTGCTCTGTTCTCTACTCTGTCAAGCAGTCGCAGATGAGAGGGGTGGCAGGCAAACCAAGAAAGTGGAGCATACTCAAGGTGTGAGCGTACTTGTGCCTCGTACAGAATCTTGCAACCCCTACTGTCAAGCAGATGCGAGATACGGCGAAGTGCTGTAAGCTTCCTGGCTGCCTTGTTTGCAAGATTTACAACATGGTTCTTCATGGTTAGTTTGGAGTCAAATTTCACCCCTGTCTCTCTCTCTCTCTCTTCTCTCTCTCTCTCTCTCTCTCCTATAGGGTTTTACAAGGTTAGGTTTAGAGCACCTAACTTTATTTACAGACTAACCCTCTCTTTTACACAGGTTAGGTTAAGGTTACTAACTTTATTGACAAACTCACCCTCTCTCTCTCATGATACGAAATTAAATTTTACTGTCTCCCACATGCATTCCCATCCCTCTCTCTTTCACTACACATACCCATGTAGAATGACATCATACGAGCTATGGTATACCCACCAAGAGGTATATAGCTCTGTGTATACCGGGATGTAGATTTTTCCTAATGTTAACAACGTCTAGCCGGTTTCCACGGCGCTTCGGCTTTGTCTGAAGTTTCCCTAAGAAAGAATAATGTTTCAGATGTCTGTGTCCTCCGTGCCCGGTTCCAGACCAGTCCTGTGTGGATGGTCGGGTCAGACAGGCTGTTACTACTAGCCGCTTTGAGAGAGAGAGAGAGAGAGAGAGAGAGAGAGAGAGAGAGAGAGAGAGAGAGAGAGAGATTTCCGTAAGCTTTCGCCATTCCGTGTCAGTTTTTTTTTTTTTTTTTGTGGCTTGCCGATGACAGGATTGAAGTATTATTGTTTATAATTTCCGAAGGCTTGAGGCACTTACCCATCTCTAAGGATTTCGTTGTTGATTCTTGGCTTTTTTCTGTTGTTCTCTTCTTCTTCCTACATGTGTCTCTTATTTATCGTATTTATCTCTCTCTCTCTCTCAAGTAGTACCTGAGAGTTTCCTATATTAATAAGGATTTAAGGTCCTCTGTGGGTGTTCGTGGCTCTGTTGGTAGCGTCCTTGGGACTGGGGATCCATCCCAGGCACGTTTGAAACATTGAGCATATTACCTTACATCTGCTGTCCCTGTTTACCTGGCAGTACGTAGGTACCTGGGTGTTAGTCAACAGCTTTGGACCATATCCTGGGGAGATGATTAATTAAAGGACCACAGTAGAAATAAGACAGACAGTCCTTGGTGATGAAATGACATCACTGGGTTATCCTTCGTGGCTAACCTTGTGCGTTAAAAATTCGAACGAAATCGTATCGTATCTTATCTCGTATTCTGCAAACTGAGAGCAGCGGACCACCAGCAACAACATCTTAGTTGACCAGACAAGCATCTGATGAGCCAAGGGTGTGTTGGGAATACCCCAGATGCATGAAAAAAGGGCGTTCAAGAGTCATGGTCCATTTACACTTATTTTTTTCCATCTTTGCGTTCTCAGTATTCCTCTCCGGGTCGTCTGCGAGTATTTAAAAGGATGAATCCGAGCTATCATTTAATTAGTTGAGTTTACTTTTTAAATTATGTGTTAGTTGAGGAAAGAGCTCCAAATGTGAGAGTGATATTGGCTGTCCTTTTTTTTTTGGGGGGGGGGGGAATAATTGTCGCTTTCTGGCTGTCAGAACATTGAATCTGTACTCTGCATTAAGATCACCGACATCTCGATGCTGTTGAAGACTTCATTGGAGTGACAGGTCCATTTAAGACAAGTGTAGGATCAAAATGAGTGGAACTCGGCTACCCTCTTTTCTGCCAGAGAAAACAAGTGGGAGATAAACTCAAGATTGGAGAAAACTTGGGAGATAAATTACACTACTGTCTGTCCTGGAATAATATCACTCGCGACTTGATGGTGGTCCACGACGGACCGAAATGCTGTATTTTTTTCATCTTCAGTTTGTAGTTTAGGTGTGAGTTCTTCCAGTCACTGCACTGTGGCTTTCTCAAGTCAGCCTTAATGTTGTGAGCTTTTGGAATGTGTTGCTTGTAAAATTCAACGTGTGGGTGTTCAGAGGCACAGCACGTGGATGCTCAGAAGTTCAGCACGTTGATGTTCACAGTCAACACAAAGTCAGATTTCAGAGCCAGGATGCCCACTTCACGGTCGAGTGCTGCGTCTCAACCATTCATCCTCTCACCACTCCAGCAGCTGCATTATGTCATATACCCATTACATACCTACCACCTATTTCGAGAGTTCTACTACACCTCTTAGCTCAGACTGCGGACAGATTTCCCTGCTGAAGGCCTGGTAAACCTGCCTATTGCTGTTGACAGCCCACAGGCCTCCATGCTATAAACAATCTGAATGATCTGGTGAGCGATTAACCTTTTTCTTCTAAGAAGCAAGTACATTATGCCATCGACTTCCGCAGACCAACATAGCTAGTATACAAAGAAACTGAAGTATCCTCCCTTTCCTTGCCTCAAATCTATATACCTCCCACCATTCCCTAGGCGTCGTGTGATCCCTACGAGTTTATCGCTTCTCCGCAACAATAATAGCACTTTTCTCAGGTCCAATAAGAACTACCCTAAGAGTTGAATCCCTAAAGGACTGAGGACTTAATAGAGCCAGATTTTGCTAGCGATTGCAGCTTCAATAGGAGGCCAAGAAGCCATGCTAGGTCAAGGACAGCAGCAGTGTCCAGTGCAACAACACACGTGGTCGTAAAGGAAAGACATGTTGTAGAACGAGTTTTTCTTGGGACCACGTATCCCTCTGCTCAGCTTTATCGGGTCATTGATAAAGTTCTTTACAGAACGAAAGATTGTGTGTCCTGTAAAATGTTGTTCTGTAACGTTTGTCTTTTGTTTATTATTGGCTGAGGTACACCAAGTGGATCCAGTACTAAGTGATCTACACACTCAGCTCACCCTCCACCCTCTTTATCTTCAGTTTATCTGTCTGTGTGACTCTTTCTCCACCTCCTTCCTTCCCTCCCTCCCTCCCTCTCTCTCCCTCTCTGTGTCAAGGCTGGGGTGGGGCTGAGTTGGAGGAAAATGATTTCAGAAGATGATAAGAGTTAAGTCAGGGTGGCAAGTTGGTGTGATAGAGGATAGAAAGCTGAGACAGAACTATAAGGAAGGATAGAGCGTTTTCTTAATCATTTTCCTCGATCCCTAATATATATATATATATATATATATATATATATATATATATATATATATATATATATATATATATATATATATATATATATATATATATAGAGGGTATTTAAATGATAGAATTGACAATGTCTAATCTTTTACGTGAACATTCATAGCAAAGAAAATTTAGTTTTGACAACTACAAATAATAATAATAATAATAATAATAATAATAATAATAATAATAATAATAATAATAATAATAATATCTGATCTATTTTCTTTGACTAATCGATGGTAGACGAAGTGTTGGAGGAAATGGGGAACGGGAGTTAGATAATGATGTAAGGAGAGTAGATAATGATATAAGGGAAAGAGATAATGATATAAGAGGGATAGCTAGTGATGTAATGGGGGATAGATAATAACGCAAGAAGGGTAGATAATGAAGTAATTGGGACAGGTAATGATGTAAGGCGGCTACTCAATGATGCAAAAGGGGATAGATTATGGAAGGGGGATAAAGGAGAAAGGGAGAAAGGGAAGGGAGAGGGAAGATAGATACTGAAACTGTGGATATACTGTATTTCTTCCTTAATTTTATACTTAGTTATAAAATGCAAAAAAAAAAAAAGTGCATATATTGAATATATTTTTTATATTTTTAAAATGCTTTTAAAATTTTGAGTCTATAATGATAGTTTGCAATTATATATATATATATATATATATATATATATATATATATTATATATATATATATATATATATATATATATATGTAATTGGTAGGTAGGAAAATTCCCGATAAATAATTATTTTTTATATATTTGCAATAACTCCCCTTGATAGTCCTCAAAATAGAAGTAATTTCCCAGAATCTTAAACCAGCCATGTATCAAAGCATCATTAAACCCACCCACCCATATGTTTTATAAACCTCCCCTCCCCCCACCTCCTCGCCCCAGTAACCAGGTTCAAGATTAAGAAGAATTCCCACACCTCCCTCCCCTCCAAAAAAAAAAAAAAAATTCCTCCCACCCCTCCTCAAGAAAGGTAAATACATTCATAAGTAGATTGGTTGATGCCTTCCGTTGCAATTGATCATCACTTGACTCTCTTGCAGCTCACCGGCCGCCCTTCCCAGTCTCACATGCAGGTAACGTCTCCACTGTATCCATCTTCATCTTCTCCACTTTTCGTCTCCCTTTCTCAGTCTGTCTCTCTACCCCTCGCTTTCTCTCAGAGTCTATATTCTCACTCTTTACATCTCTCTATCCCTCGTCTTCTCTCTTGTTGTACTAATGTCTCCTTCATCGTCTCTCACATTTTCACATCTCTGTCTTTGTCCCTCTTCTATTCTCTGCCTCCTTTATTGCCTTTGCTCTCTTTGCCTCCCTTTGCTTCCTCCATCCACTCCTCTTCGTCTGTCTGTCTGTGTCTCTCCGTCTCTCCCTCTCATGCCCATTCACTCTTCTTGTCCATCTTTCTTATTTGTTAACCTTTCATCGTTCTTACATTTATTAACCAGCTTTTTTTTTCTCCTCTATCATTTCCACAGATGAAGAAAGAAGACACACAACACGGTGGACTAAAAACAAACCAGCAAACCATTTTTGTCTGAATATTTTAAAGTTTTGTGAGAAAGAATGTTGAGTGACAGGTTCTTATCAGGAGGTACAGCTGATGACCGGTTCTCCACACCTTCTCTCTGCCACACAAAAAATTATATATCCAGTCACACATTTCCTTTCATAATTTTAGACACTTTTCGCAGGAACGGTGCTTCATTATACGACGTTTCACTCACTGTGGGTGAAAAGTCTCATGACTGTTTTTTCCCAGTCCTTAATGTGGGTGGAATTTCTGCTTGTCAGCTTGCATCCTTGTTTACCTGCTTTCAGAATGCCAGCCTTAAACCTCAAGACTAGACCATATTCTTCTCTCCTCTAGAGCTAAACCAGCTTAATCTGTCCTCTAGAGTTAAACCAACTTCATCTGTCTTCTAGAGATAAACCAGCTTCATCTCCTCTAGAGCTAAACCAGCTTCATCTCTCTAGAGCTATACAGGCATCGTCTCGTCTCCTGCAGAGCTAAGTCAGCTTCATTCCCTGCTTTCTACAGGACTAAATATGACATTTCTTCAGAGCTTAATACGATTTTTCTTCCCAGAAAAACTAATTCAACTTCGCTCTCCTTTTTTCTCTCCCATTTGAGCTAAACTATATCCTTTCCATCTAAGTTAGCCTTTTCTACTCTTCTGAGCTAAACCAGCTCCTCTTCCATCGGGGCTAATTCAGCCCAATTCTCCCTTCGAAGTTAAGGAAGCCCCATCTATCCTTTGTACTTAAATTAGCCCCTTTCCCTCCGAAGCTGAACCAGCCAAGGCCCCTTCTATCCTTCTCACTTCTACTGACCTAAACCAGCGTCACCTGGACGCTGGTTTTGCTCTGAAAATTAGTTTAATGAGTAAGATAAGCTTGCTTCTTTGCAAATTTGTAAGTGTCTCATTGTCTATACATAACAAAAACCACAATACCGTGACCGGAACAATACACAAATAACCTGCACATAGGAGAGAGGAGCTTACAAAGACGTTTCGGTCCGACTTAGACTATTTACAGTCACACTGTTACCTTGTAAATGGTCCAAGTCGGATCGAAACATCGTCGTAAGCCCCTCTCTGCTATTTGTGGGTTATTTGTGTCTGCCTGCCTATTTGCCTCTGCTTGTAAATCTGAATCTGTATTTCACTGTCTCCCTGTTCATCTACGTCCGCCTGTGAATTTCTCTTCATAGTCCTGGCTGTATAGTCCATGTGGCTTAGCGCTTCATTTTGATTATAATAATAATAATAATAATCTTCATAGTCCTTTTCTCTCATCGAAGTAACTCGTCTCGTAGCAAATATCTGGGCCTTTACAAGTTTCTTCCAAGTCCTGACTTGGGAGGTTCACGCGATAACCACGAACTTGATGATAATTCTGAAATACGTCCGCTGCTCTCTTAATATTCCACCTGTGACCTGTTGTTCGATGAGCAAAAGTACCACTGCAACTCTTACTTTTATTCTTTTTTTTTTTTTTTTAGCTGTTTCGCCGTGTCCACCTCGTCCTCATTACTTGTCCTTCCTCCCCCTTCTGAGGATGACAATCTCGGTTCCTTCATTGCCATCTTTACTGATTTCCCACATCTTTATTTTCATTATTTTTTTATTTAATAGGAAGCTTGAAACTGTAATGCCAAAGTTACCGGATCCCCTCATATGGTATTTTCATTTCATTAAATTTTTTTTTGCCTTCGTCTCTTCAAATGAAATTCATAACGGAGTAAATTTCCCGTCCCAAGGCATTCATTAAACAGATTTCACATTCCAAGCACTACCATCATCTATGCATTTCTCTTTAATTTATTATCGTCTTATAATCTCGGCTTATCTTTTAACGAAGTGCCTGTGTGTGTGTGTGTGTGTGTGTGTGTGTGTGTGTGTGTGTGTGTGTGTGTGTGTGTGTGCGTGTGTGTGTGTGTTTGCTTTCATTTGTCGCAATAAGGATGCTGCTTAAATTTCATTTAATTTATATTCATTGAAGGAAAATCTGAATGGTTATTTGCTAAATATTTAATTTTAATAATAATGACGGTAATAATAATAATAATAATAATAATAATAATAATGGTAATAATGATAATGATTATGATTATAATCTTAGCAAAATACTGATACCCATTCTAAATCTCTTCTGGAGTTCAAAAAATTCGTGAGTTTGTACTTTCATCCAAAAGTGTTTTCTAATTCATTTCTAACGAACGAGAATTAGAAGAAAAAAATTTTTCGTAACTATCAAACAGGTCCTCAAATGTTTCATTAATTGTGAATTTGAAATATTTTTATTATTTTGCTATACACAATTTATCATTGTATGAAATGAGACGACGTTAATAATATAATATAAATGAAATAAAACTGACTTAAGATAAATATAAGATTCAAGAAACTATACGTATTTAGTAATTTTGATGTTTAGGAATTTTTCAAAATTATATATATATATATATATATATATATATATATATATATATATGTCGTGCCGAATAGGAAAAATTGGTCAATTAGAAAGAACCCATTTAGAATTAAGTCCTTTCTAAAATTTTTTCTTATACGTTTAACGATATTTGCTTTCATTTATGTTAATGTAAAAATTAATAATTTTGTTCTAAAGGAGCCGTAGAAAACTTACCTAACCGTGTAACAAGCGCAATTTAATTTAGCCTAATCCAACTAAATATGTTTTAAATAAGTTTACAGTAATTTAATAATAAACAAACACAATGAAAAATATTTTTTTTGTTAGGTTCAGAATGATTTTTGCGAGAAATTTGTATACACAAATTTTCGCTTGTCTTATTCGGCATGAAAAGCCATGCTATTTAATCCAAAATCGCAAGTTTTACCTTTTCGACACGACATTTATATATATATATATATATATATATATATATATATATATATATATATATATATATATATATATGCTGCGGTGACTTAATTGACATTAGTGATATTGGAGGTTATTGACTGCCCTAGTCTTCCAGGCTCCCGTTAATGTCAGTGGCAGCTGTCGAAAGTGTGCGTGATACCTGCAGATGTTATTGACGCTGAGCGTTATACGTAATGAGGCCGTGTTAACGTACTATAAGCTGATAGTTAAATCTGAAGTTAGAACAGAAAGAGATATACTTCAAAGGTTTTTATCTGGACGAAACCTAAGAATTGCGATTTAATCCTATTTTTTAAGGCGGTCTAATTATAAATTGACATTAGAAACCTCAGTTACTCAGAAATTAATTCTCCGAAGATAACACCAGTGACGATCGAAACCAGAACGATGGTAATGAATTGTGCCGAAGCAACTAGCTTGTTGTGCACCCAGCTTATTGTGCACCCAGTAGCCATCCCGTGGACGCTAGCTGTTATAGTGCACCTTATAGCCTTCCCATGGACGGTGCTTTACCTTTGATACACCTTTGAAGAGTTTCGAGAGTTTCACTACTCTCGGAGCCCGGCTATGGGCCAGGCTCGTCTGGTGTTTGCCTAGTCAACCGGGCTGTTGCTGCCCCACATATCCATCACAACCTGGTTGATCTGGCACCAGCTAGTTTACTGCGCTCCACAATCTCATCCCCTGGACGGTAGGTGCTAGTTTAAGCGGCCCCACATATCCACGTAGACGATAGCGCGAGAACGTAAGTTATATCCATCCTGTTAAATAGCAACAACATCAAAGTATATAATGCGCAATTGTCTAGGAACTTGGTTCTTATAAATTCAAAGAGGTGCACTTGTATTCATTTACATACTTGAATTTAAGATATTTACTCAAATACACAAATAACCCGCACATAAAAGAGAGAAGCTAACGACGACGTTTCGGTCCGACTTGGACCATTTACAAAGTCACACACAGTCACGGTATTGCGCCTTTTGTTATTATTTATATTTTCTCAAAAATTCATTATTATATCTTTACATACATTGATTCAAAAGTTGTTTATATTACTCAATTAGCGGATAGTTAATTACATAGTATCAAAGAAAATTATTCTAATGATTTCATTCTTTAAATTTGTTTGATTAGTATCTGTATAGATTTATATTACTATTTTAACTATCTTCATATTACTGTCTATCTGTTTGTGTCTGTACATTCGTTTACGAAAATGCGTGTGAATTCCTGTTATGTGTGGGTGTATGTTAATGCGAGTGTATGCATATATATACTGGTAGGTAAGACACATAGGCAACAGTTAGGCAACTTTATTCCGAAACGTTTCGCCTACACAGTAGGCTTCTTCAGTCGAATACAGAAAGTAGGCAGGAACAGTAGAGATGTGAAGATGATGTAATCAGTCCATCACCCTTGAAGTCGTAGAATTTGAGGTTGTCAGTCCCTCGGCCTGGAGAAGTTCAGTTCCATAGTTCCTGACTATGGAACTGAACTTCTCCAGGCCGAGGGACTGACAACCTCAAATTCTACGACTTCAAGGGTGATGGACTGATTACATCGTCTTCACATCTCTACTGTTCCTGCCTACTTTCTGTATTCGACTGAAGAAGCCTACTGTGTAGGCGAAACGTTTCGGAATAAAGTTGCCTAACTG